AAAAAAAAAAAAAAAAAAAAGAGTAAAGTAGAGTTTTACTTGAATGAACGATGCCAGCTTTCGTGGTAAAACCGAGAAGAGAGAAGGTGATTCTATATGGAAAAATAAGCCAAAAAGGAAGAATAATATTTTTTCATTTGAGATTTCACTGTCGAGGAAATTGAGTTTGAACGGTTTGTAAAGTATAATTGAATTTGATTAATTTCATATTGGACAAGAGTGAATAATCGATTACACATACGTATGTACAAGAATATATGAAAAGTGTGGAATAAAATTGTTTAGTTTAAATATGTTCTGTTAAAGATTATTTTTCCGCAAGCGTCTTGAAAAAAAATTTTATTCCACATTTTTCATTTGCTTTCTTGAATAGCGTAACCTTCGATATTAATTTAATTAAAAGCTCACTGAATCTTATAGAAATTATGTCGACAATTCTACTCATTCTATTTTCTCATTATGCCACAGCTTTCTAATCAATCTATAAATATTTATAAATTTATATGAAATACTATCTTTCGAAACAGAACTTCTATTTTTGTATATATAAAAAAAATTACCCATTTATTGAAAACCTAGAACATTGAAAATTCTAAATAGTCCTCACTGATCATTGAAGGACATTGTAGATATGAAATTTCCTTCAGAGATGGATTTTAAGAAATTAGGTACAGTTAACTTTCGAATTCGAACTTTCTCGAAGAGCGTCATATGAACAAATTTTATTCCACGATTTATTTTTCGATTAATTTTTCTACGTAGAATTTCCGTTTCTTCCCGATTATACCACGAAAACTGGGATATCCTGTATAACGATTAATTTTGGCTTACGACTGGAGATCGAACGATCTCGTTTCAATCAAGTGAAATCGCCACTGTTGAAATTAATTTATTCCCCTCCTCTTCGAGAGGAAGATCCCTCGAACTCGCGGAAGCAAATTGTTCGTATTATAGAAGATCGAAAAGGATCACGCGCTAATATGCTACTAATCTAACGTGTGACTTCTATGTGTTTCTCTTTTTCATCTAGCGAACTTCATGTAGACGCGCTGGTTGGTGGAAAAGATTTGTGTGTGAGTGAGTCTGAAGGTAGACAGCAACAAA